TAATTGCTCAAAGCTGCTGTGGTAGGGATGCTTCTATGATTCTGAAAACAGCAGGATAATTGTATACTATCTGAAATAGGCAAATAAGCAGCAATGTAATTCTCTGATGCTGCTCTATATATTCTAGGTAACATATATAGTCTGTGCACAATTATTAGGCAAGTTGTATTTTGGAGGATTAGTTTTACTATTGAACAACTACAGTGCTCTTGGTCAATCAAATGTCAAACTTGAACATTTAAGAAAGTAAAAGTGAGGTTTTGGCTTTCTAAGGAAAATATCTATGTGCACACAATTATTAGGCGACTATTGGTGTGCAGAATTATGCAACTAAATTAAAAATTGCCCATCTCACTCATTTATTTGTATTTGTTAAAGTGAGAATAATAAACAAACCACTCAAAATGTACAAATAAACATTTCTGACATTTCACACACAAAAAAAATCATTGACCAATATAGCCACTCTTCTTTTCAGTAATAGTCATAAATCTTCCATTCATGGAGTCTGTCAGTTTCTTGATCTATTGACAACCAACTTTTATGCAGGGGCAATCGGGTGGGATGCTACTGGTTCGCCCCGGTTCTATAGAACCTGTAGCTGTGAAGAGCAGCTGACACCGAACCAGTTTGGTGTTTGCCCCCCCGCCTGCCCGGGCTCTAGGCTGTCCTTTATTCCCTGCTTTTCCCTCCTCAGCTGCTTTGCGCAGCACAGCTGAAGTTGAAAAAGCAGGAAACAAGAGGATTTTCAAACACTGCACACCAAGCGCAGCACTTGTCAGTTGTCCAGGCAACACAGCTGATGATTTCTTGCAAACACTGCACACATGATTGTCCCCAGTTCGGAGAATCAGCAAATCGCTCCACTGGCTCCCCTCCCTGCCCACTCACTCCTTATCTGGTATCCAAGCCATCCAACTTGCCTGGTTTGGTAAGTTGCTATTTTTCCTCCCCCCCCCAACCATTAGCTGTTCTGCTCTGCTAGGAGATTTAGATTAGCTAGAAAGCAGGAAATCCTTGGATTTCCTGCTTTCTAGCTAATCTAAAAGCAGAGCCGAACCTTCCTTAGGACTGAAGACTTTCAGTGAAGACTCAGGTAGCCAATTGCAGATAGATAGATCTCTAAATTAATCTGTGATTCTGTGAGCAACTCAATCTGCCTGCCTGCTTTGGGATTGCTCCTTTTTTTTAAATAAAAAAATTCAATGTTTACATTCATGGTGTGTTGTGAGTTAATTTTGTGAGTTTGCTTGCTAACAAATTTTATGAGTTTTCTTGCAAGCAAATTTTATGTGACAGACTCAGATAGCCGATTGCAGATAGATAGATCTCTAAGTGAATCTATGATTCTGTGAAAAATTCAATCTGCCTGCCTGCTTTGCCTGCTTTTGGGTAAAAGTTGTTCTTTTTTTAATAAAAAAATCAATATTTACATAAACATTTATAATATTTACATACAAACGACGCCCACCCAGTCACATGACCACCAGGCCACACCCACAAATTAGGCCACACCCACAGAACTGGTTGTTAAGAAATTTGAATCCCACCCCTGGGGCAACCACAATCTCCCAGATACTGTTTAGAGAGGTGTACTGTTTTCTTTCACCATAAATCTCCCATTTAAGAAGGGCCCACAAGTTCTCAGTAGGGTGTAGGTCAGGTGAGGAAGGCGGCCATGTCATTATTTTTTCATCATTAAGGCCTTTACTGGTTAGCCATACAGTGGAGTACTTTGATGCATGCGATGGAGCATTGTCCTGCATAAATCATGGTCGTCTTGAAAGATGCAGACATTTTCCTGTACCACTACTTGTAGAAAGTGTCTTCTAAAAACTGGCAGTAGGTTGGGAATTGATTTTGAATCAATCTTCCATCTTCAACCCCAAAAGGTCCCACTAGTTCATCTTTAATAATACCAACCAGTTCCAGTATCCCACCTCCACCTTTCTGGCGTCTGAGTTGAAGTGGAGCTCTGCCTGTTACTGATCTAGCTATGGGCCCATCCATCTGGTCTGTCAAGAGTCACTCTCATACATCAATCTATAAAGCCTTTGAAAAATCTGTCTTCAGATATTTCTTGGCCCAGTCTTGCCATTTCAACCTATGTGTCTTGTTTAGTGATGGTTGGGTTTCAGCCTTCCTTACATTGGCCATGTCTCTAAGCCAGGGGTGGGCAAACTTTGGCTCGGGGGCCGCATTGACTTTTAAAATTTGACAGACGGGCCGGGTCAGCACAAGATTTTTTGGGAATCGCCCCCCCCTTCCCCCCTTCTCCTCCTTCCCCTCCCCTCGGAGGCCCCCTGAGTCAGGAGTTGCTACCGCCGGCGCGGCTCCGCGCGGCTCCAGTCCTGCGTTGCCTCGGGAAGGGAAAGGCAAAAAGGAAGAGCCGCGGCGGTGCTTTGCAACGGGAGCAGCGGCACCGGAGGCTCAGGCTCAGCGGCTCCTGGTTTTGCCTTTTCCTTCCCAAGGCAACGCGGGACTGGAGCCGCGCGGAGTTGCGCCGGCGGTAGCAACTCCTGACAGCCCCAGCCGGACACCTGAGCGGAGCCCGGGCGGAACTGCTTGTTGCTGCTGCCGGAGCACCGCCGGGTCGCCTCCTCCAAGCAGCCCGCCTGCCTGCTGGGCTTCCCCTCCGCCACGCGGCTCGGGGCCAGGCGCGAGCGCCCGCGAGTTAAAAGGAAGCCGAAAGTTGCTGGGAAGTTGCTCGGGTGCTGGGAGCAGGCTTTTAAAGTGCCGCCCGAGCAAAGTTTAAGCAGCCCGCCCGCCCGCCGGGCGGAACCCTTCCCGCTCCTTGGCGGGAAGACGCTCCAGCCTGCAAACTTTTTCTTTGCAAAGTTTAAGCCTGGAAGCCCCGGAAACCCGAGCAACTTCCCAGCAACTTTTGGCTTCCTTTTAACTCGCAGGTGCTCGCGCCTGGCGGAGGGGAAGCCCGGAGCCTCCTCCAAGCAGCCCACCAGCCCGCCGGGCTTCCCCTCCGCCGCGCGGCTTGGGGCCAGGTGTGAGTGCCCGCGAGGAAAACGGAAGCCGCAAGTTGCTGGGAAGTTGCTCGGGTTTCTGGGGCTTCCAGGCTTAAACTTTGCACAGGCAAAGTTTGCAGGCGGGAGCGTCTTCCCGCCGAGGAGCGGGAAGGGTTCCGCCCGGCGGGTGGGCGGGCTGCTTGGAGGAGGCGACCCGGCGGCGCTTCGGGTTTCCCCTCCGCCGCGCGGCTCGGGGCCAGGCGCGAGCGCCCGCGAGGAAAAAGGAAGCCGAAAGTTGCTGGGAAGTTGCTCGGGTGCTGGGAGCAGGCTTTTAAAGTGCCGCCCGAGCAAAGTTTAAGTAGCCCGCCCGCCCGCTCCTCGGCGGGAAGACGCTCCAGCCTGCAAACTTTGCCTTTGCAAAGTTTAAGCCTGGAAGCCCCGGAAAAAAAAGGGGGATCGGTGGGGACTCACCTTCGGAGAGGTCGCACTTGAAGGTGATTTCAAACTCCCAGCCGAGGCCTTTGCAAAGTTCTTTTCTTTCCTACCCCGAGAGCGCTCCGCACTGTTTTGCAGCTTTGGGGGCCACGCGGCACAGGGCAATACGCCACGCCCAGTGATTTTTTTTTCAGGGGCGGGCCGGATTGGACAGACCAACGGGCCGGATGTGGCCCGTGGGCCGTAGTTTGCCCACCCCTGCTCTAAGCACTGAACATCTTGTACTTCTGGGTACTTCAGGTAGGTTGCAGTTCTGGAATATGAAGCAGCTGAAGATAATGGATTCCTGGTAGCTTCACGTTTGATTCTTCTCAAATCTTTGGCAGTTAATATGCATCTTTTTTTCTCAACACATTTCTTCTAATCCTGTGTGATGACCCAGAGTGTAATACAAACATAACAAAATCCAACACATAAATAAATGTCCTTTAATGCCTTCAACTTGGACCCACTGTTCAATAATTCTCAGTTGGAGATAAAACTTATTCAAAAATAGTCTTTAAAAGAAAGCAATACAGTCCAAACTTAATGAGCAGATAGAGATGAAATAAAAAACCCAAACAAACTACAATGAAGGAAATTCCACAATGGACCAGGAGATAAAAAGGCACAGTCTGTTGGAAGGACGCTAACCAAGATAACTTAAGCCCAAAATAAAACACGCTTTGCTTCTGGCAACACTGTGTTTTAACCATCTCTCTTATATACTATTCTCCCCAGCTGCAACCAATGAGGGGGATCATGGCCGTTTCCTTTCTCGTAAGCCAAATTATTTCCTCCTCTGTTCCTCCCTGCATGTCCTAGGATGAAGAGGGGATGGGCCTGGTTCTTCCTCTGACCCCAGCCGGCCTCTGCCCTTCCCCAGCCTCCTCCACAACCTCCAGAGCCACACCTCCACTCCCCGTCGGCTGTTCCTCTTCTCCCTCAGAGTCCAACTTTAACAAGGGCATGATACCCTGTTGACTATTTGCAACAAAACATTTGATGGTACTGTGATCACGCCCCAATATCTTAGCAATTTCAAGAACGTTGTGTTACAATTTTTGACTTTTCAGAATCAGTTAAGTCTCTTTTTTGTTCTATTTTGCCTGAAGAAAAGAAGCTGCTGAATTATATTATGCACACCTTGATATAGGGTGTTGACCTCCTTAGGCCATACCTTCCCTCATTAAACAAAAACACATAACCTGATATGCTTATATCCACTAAGCATTCAAGTTTATACAATTTGGATGTGGAAAATATGCATAAAAATGATATGGTCAAAATACTTGCCTAATAATTGTGCACACAATGTAGAGATGCAGAAAACACTGTCTTTTGGCTAGAATATCATTGCGAGTGTACAGCTCTAAGATGGGTATTTATGTTTTATTTTAAATTTAAACAAGTCTCTTTCCCACTCCTGTTCCTCAAACAAAAGACATACTTTGAGACAGAAATCTCATATTTATTGAGGAATGAATTCCATTAAACACAGTGAACTTTAGGGTTAATTTATTAACCTTTTCCACATAATTTCTTTCTCTTATATATGATTTTCAGGAGCCTGTGACTGATGAAGAAACAACAGATGAATCTGAGGTAAGATTATTTTGAAGGGCCTTTATTTTTACACATTGCAAAATTACTTTCGCACATTGTAGTTTCATTAAATGTACAGTCTTTGTTAATACGTATGTATACATGCCTTTATTTTTCCCCATTCCTGATTTTTCTGCTTCATTGTAGATATGGAAGGTTTTTTTTTAAAATTTACAAACTATTGATTATAGTTTTATGGCAAGGGTTGGCAAGGAATTTCTTAAGCTTCAGTTAAAAACGAGTTCTGTGCTGCTACTAAAGATGCAACGCAGGTGATAATAAATATGAAGTTTTTCTGCTGAAAGAATATATCTTAACTACTCATGAGGAATTGAAACCTATAAGCTGTTGTTTTTGTTTTGCATATATAAAATGAGATTGATACAAATAAAAATTGGTATTTATTATGATGCTCTAATTTGTTTCATTCATTTTGGCAAATTGGGCCTTTGAATCATATGATTGTCCACAATGCACACATTGTCTTATTTTAAAAAAAATGTATTTAAATTGAATGAAAATTGTTTCTGAAATGACTTTGGGATCTTTATAACCACACATTTGTACAACAAGCTATTTACAAAATTGCAATTCACTGTCATGTTACTAGTAAAGATTGGTGAAACTTGAATTATATGAATGTGTGTTGTGTTACATTAGAAGATAATGATAGTGGATCAGCTATAGTCTTATTTCCAACCTTTATTTTGTAGGCAAGGTTGTTAAAAAGAAGGTAGTCTTGCCCTTGACAAAACGGATGATCTGGAACTTTTCAGTTAGGTTTCAGGCCACATTATGGCTCTGAGATGGCATTGATCATGCTTGTGGATTATCTTTAATCAGTTCAGGGCAGGAGCAATTTACAGAAGTGACTTGTGACCTTTCTTGTTGACTTCCCTGATCACTTTGCCTATGGAAAACCACCAGCAAAGATCAGAAATGGTGAACATTTGATTGGGGGGACACTTTGGCAAATGAAATTTCAAGTATCAGTCATAATTCCTGCATTCAGCACCTTTGTAACTTCAAACTGTCACTGAATCAGTTGTTGTAACTTGAAGACTACCTGAAACTGCCAAAAACTTATTTGCTGTTTTGATTTGGGGTCCTTGTTATGCCAAAGGGACATGACCCAGTCCTTTAGATACATGATTTCTGTTTGTTTCTATAAGTGTCTTAAAGTTTACTCCATTAAAATCATTTTTGGAATTTGTCTTGGTTTGAGTCCATTTTTTTCAATCCACAGGCCTACTGGTTAACCAAGACTATTAATACAAAGATATACAAAAATTGTAAAACAAATAAAATAGCAATAGCACTTAGTGTCTTATATACCACTTCACAGTGCTATACAGCCCTCTCTAACCAGTTTGCAGTGTCAACATATTGCCCCCAACAATCTGGGTCCTCATTTTACTGACTTTAGAAGGATGGAAGGCTGAGTCAACCTTGAGCCAGTGAAACTCGAACTGCCAGAAATCAGAAGTAACCTGTCGTACTGCATTCTCACAGTGCCACCATGGCTCTTACATCATAATGATTAGAATTTATAGGAATATTTTACTCTTCTATAAATAGAACTTGACCATACATCACAAATTTTATGTGTATGTATGTGTATGTATGTGTGTATGTGTGTGTGCGTGTGTGTGCTTGCGCACACATACGCGCACACACACACATACACATATGCTGTCTTATAATGGTGATATTCAAATTTTTTTACTACCGGTTCTGTGGGTGTAGCTTGGTTGGTGTGGCAGGGGAAAGATACTGTAAAATCAGAGGTGGTATTTGCCAGTTCTCCGAACTACTCAAAATTTCTGCTACCAGTTCTCCAGAATTGGTCAGAACCTGCTGAATACCACCTCTGCTGTCTTGTTCCAGAATTATTCAGTATATAGTTTTTTATCTGTGAGATTCCTGTTTTTAGACAGGTAAGACTATACACATTCCTGAACAAGCCCCACTACTGTCATCAGGAATATTTCAAGTAATATTGTATAGCAAAAGAGCCATAGAATTACTACTGTCTATTTCTAGAGCATAATAAATCTTTTTATATAAATGTATAATTACTATATATAAAGTGCAAGATCAGTATGTATGACAAAATGCATATCACTAGTGCATGTGTAATACTTGTTGTAAGTTAACATTTTTAGATCTTGATTTTTTCTGTGAAGCAAACCTTTTTATAGAGACAGCTTTCCATCAACCCAATTGTAATACATCCTTTTCTTAAATGGTTGCAGTGTTCTTGCTTTTCAATTTATTTTTGTAACTCTATATGTGATTTGAAATGTTATAGACTCTTGTTTTAATCTAGCCCATAGACTAATTTCATTCCTCCTTGAAATTATAAGGAACAAATATTAAATAGTATTTTAATACTAAGGGCAAAAAAAATGTTGCTTTAGCTTGAAAAGAGACATCAAACTAATCTCCAAAGCAGGGGTCACCAAACTTTTGGACCTCAGGGACCACCAAACTCATACTTTCTCCTATATGCTGCTTCAAGAGTCCAGGGTAGATTAGACTCCTCCCTATTACATCATAGAGCTGAGTCTGCCATATAAAAGTCCAGCCTCTAGCCAGATCCCCCAGCTTTGACTCAGCTCCTAGTCAAAACGAGCTTCGTGTTTTGGAAGCAGAGTTAAGGATCGTAGCTAGCAATTAGCTGAAAAAGGTTGCAGGTTTGATCTCGAGCCTCTGATACAGAGCTGCTCCATGGCTAAAAGTTTCGCTCCTGGGTTTCTCTCTTTGCTCGGGGCTCTTAGAGCCTACAGAGCAACAAAGGCCCTCCAACAATTTCATCAAGGTTGCAGGTTTGATCTCAAGCTTCTGACACACAGCTGCTCCGAGTCTAAAAGTTTCGCTCCTGGGTTTCTCTCTTCGCTCAGGGCTCTTAGAGCCTATAGAGTGACAAAGGCCCTCCAACAATTTCTCCTCGTGCAGGTGGCCATTTTATTACCACAGCACAAAGCATGAGGCTGGTGGCCATTTTAATTATCCAGAAGCATCGGTTTGTCCTATCCTGTGGCAATATTTCTGAGAGAACTATCCCAGTGAGATCAGGGGACACATATTGATGGTTACTTCCAGCACCTCTTGTGTACACCTGGTTTAATCATGGAGGCCTCCAAGCAGACAGAAGCCTCTGGATTAGAGGCACATAACCCCCCTGGCCCAGAAGGAAGAAAAAAAAGGAAGAGGCAGCGTGGCCAATCAGCTCAAAGGGAAGCAGTAACAAAAATCAGGGCGGAACTAAAGGCTGAAAAAAGGAGACATCCTGCGCTCGAGAAGCGGTTTGCTAAAACTCGACCAAATGAGGGGACGTTTGCAGCAGGCTTCCCTTCCAATGGAAGCACAGGTTGGCCAAATTGTGGGGCCCAGGGAAGAGAGACTCCACTCTTCTTCTTTCTCCTATACCTAAACCTGGTCTCTTGTGGTAACAGAGGAGGAAGGGGGTCCCCAAGACCTTAGCAAATCAGGACTTGATTTTCTTCAGGCCCCTACAATTCCACCTGCCAACCAGCCCACTCAGGGTAGCATTAGACATAGCCCCGAAGCTACCTTCACCCCCACTGCTGCTGGCCTAGGTCCTGGAGAAGCCCACTCAGGCAGTGGTTCCTCTGACATTCTCAGTTGTATGGGTCGGAGAATCCAAAGCATGGGCTGTCTCCTGCTTCCTTGCTTAAAGATGGAGTCAATCAAAGTTTAGTCCAGCCTCCTTTCCACTGCGCATGCCCAGGTTTTGATCCCATCTTTATGCCAAGGGGACACAAGGAGAGAGTGCTTAGAAAGAAAGATAGAAACTATAGTAATAATGCTTTGGATTCTTCAAGAATTGGGACAGACCAGTCATTTTCCCCATGACGGGGGAATGAGAAGAGATTTTATAATGCGGAACTAGTGGACCTAATTCCAGTTCCCACGACAGACAACCCAATGGCAGCCTCCATGTCTGCTACAGTGCTGGCTAACAAAGCTGAGGATGGTCTAAAAGGGGAGGATAAGAAAACGGAACAGACCCTACAAAAGCTACACCAGGCCGCGGCATGGTCGATAAAGGCAACATCCACGGCATCCTTTTTCAGCAGAGCAGTCCTGAGATGGCTTGAGCAGATGCAGGAAAGGATACTACCTGGCAATCTTTGATTGCAACAGGATTTGAACAAAATAACTGCTGCAACAGAGTTCATAGCAGATGCCACACTTAATGGGGTCAAGTACGCAACATAGCAGCTTCAGTATCCTTGTTTGGCTCCATCACTGGTAGGTGGATCTGAAACATAAATGGAAACTGGCATCCGCTCCAGTTAAAGGGGACAAACTTTTCAGGGATGCCATTGAGCCATTATTGATAGAAACCAAGGACAAGAGGAAGGTCTTACCGAGGAAATTTGGTCAGGCAGATAGGTGATCTTCACCATATACACGGCAACAGCCCTTTCCTATCTCGGGGGCCGGGCTTCAGTCACTCCCAGGACCCACAGAGACAGTACACACAGACCCCTACGAGACATCCAGATAGGTCAGGATTTAGAGATAGGAGTGGACAACGGTTCAAGGGAAGATGCCCTTTCAGGAGTTCGACCAGCAGGGCATTCCGGTATACTAAGTGACGGCTGAAACAACCAATTTTGGATCTCAAATTACTAAACAGGCACATAGTGTATAGGAGATTCAAGATGCAATCCCTGCGAGCTATACTAGGGAGCATCCGGGAGGGGGATGTCCTGACATCAGTAGACCTCACAGATGCTTACCTACACACACCTATTACCAAGAGGCACCGAAAGTTTCTGCGGTTTTGTTATGCAGGGAGACACTACCAGTACAGAGCTCTACCATTCGGCCTGTCCTTGGCACTGAGGACATTCACCAAGTACTGGCAATGGTAGCAACCTTTCTCAGGACAAAGCCCATATGGGTAAAATGCTACTTGGACGACATATTAATACAGTTGACATCGACTCTTAAGAGCAAAATGTGAT